AAAGAAAAGGAAGGAAGGAAGGAAGGAAGGAAGGAAGGAAGGAAGGAAGGTGCCAGTGTTAAAGAAAAGGAAGGAAGGAAGGAAGGAAGGAAGGTGCCAGTGTTAAAGAAAAGGAAGGAAGAAAGAAAGAAAGAAAGAAAGAAAGAAAGAAAGAAAGAAAGAAAGAAAGAAAGAAAGAAAGAAAGAAAGAGAAAGAAAGAAAGAGAAAGAAAGAAAAGAAAGGAAAAAAGTGTCTTGGAGTGAGCTAACTCTGCTTGGATCTGGATGGGGCTTTACCCATTGAACCCGAGAGCGCGCAATGCAAAGGAAAGCAACGCAACGCAATGCCAAGCAGGGAAAAGCGGTTGTGTGAACGCAGCTTAAACGGGTCCCGGAGAGAGGACCCCCCCCCGGGGGCATCCCCGGAGCCGAGCCCCCTCCTGCAGCTGGCCCCTGCCCCCCACCCAGCCCAGCTGTTGCATCACCCCTCCCCCCCCCTGTCCACGTCACTTCCTCGCAAAACTTTTCCCCGGGAATGTCTGCACGAAAGTTGTTGTCCTTGCGAGCCGCGGGACGGAGGAGCGGCCGGGTCCTCGCCCTCTGACTGCGGGCGGGGCGGGGGGGGGAGAAGAAAAGATTCCTTCCTTCCTTCCTTCCTTCCTTTTTCTTTTTCTTTTTCTTTTTCTTTTCTCCCCCGGCTTTTCCCGGGCTCTGCTTCCGCGGCCATGGACGACGGCTGAGCCCACTAGAGCCGCCGAAGAGCCAGCTAGCCTAGCCGGGCCGGCCGCCGCTCGCCGCTCGCCCCGCTCCTCCGCAGCCTCGCCCAGCCCGGAGGGCGCCCGCCTCTCCCCGCCGCCCGCTAAGCCATGGCCGGCGACTGCGCTGCCCGGAGCCTGGATAACACCGACCTGGGAGCGCTGCGGGTAAGTGGCTCCCGCCCGGGGGAGGAGAGGAGACGGGGAGAGAAGCCGGGCTGCGTTCCCACGACGCGTGTAGCCCGCCGGGGCGGCGCCTTTTCCTCTGCGCGCCCGGCTTGAGTCGTGGGGCTTTCGGGGGGCAGCGCGCGTCACGCGAGAGACGCGGATCTTGCCGGCAAGGCTGAAACCGACCCGGTTGGGCATGGTCGTGGGAACGCGGCCGCCACAGCTGTTAGTGACCCGGTTCATTTTTTTTAGGAGGAGGGCAGCCAGACACGAGAGAGAGAGAGAGAGAGAGAGAGAGAGATACACACGTGTACACATATACACACACACTAAAGGTAGTCCTCAACTTGCCACCACAGCTGAGCCCAAACGTTCTGTGGCTGACGATTCTTAAGTGAGTTTTGCCCCCTTTTACGACCTTTCCTGCTGCAGTTGTTAAGTGAATCACTGCAATTGTCAGCTTAGTAACACGGTTGTTAACCTGGCTTCCCCATTGACTTTGCTTGTCAGAAGGTCACAAACGGGGATCGCGGTGACTCTGGGACACACTGCGACCGTCGTAAATACGAGTCACTTCCCAAGCTGACACAAGACCGTGGGGATGCTGCAAAGGTCGTCACTCTGGAAACTGGTCCAAAATCGCATTTTTCAGTGCCGTCGTAACTCTGAAGGGTCACTAAACAAATCGTTGTAAATTAGGGGGGGCTACTTTTAGTCACCAAACTCTTCAGAGTAGCATCCCCCCCAAAAAAAACGTTCAACTGGAACTGGCTGCTTTGCCTCTGAAAACCATTGTGTGTTATTGTGCTTTATAGTTTACAGCAGGAATAATAATAATAATAATAATAATAATAATAATAATAATAATAATAATAATAATAATAATAATAATAATAATAATAATAATAATAATAATAAAGTTGGAAGGGACCTTGGAGGTCATCTAGTCCAACCCCCTGCTCAGGCAGGAAACCCTATCCCATTTCAGACAAATGGCTGTCCAGTCTCTTCTTAAAGACTTCCAGTGTTGGAGCATTCATCACTTCTGGAGGCAGGTTGTTCCACTGGTTAATTGTTCTAACTGTCAGGAAGTTATTATGTTATTGTGCTTGATTGTGTTATTGTGCTTTATAGTTTAGAGCATAACAGAGCAATATGTTTATTCTTCATATTGCATAGTATACATTCCTGCTATAAGCCATCTACAGTCTCACAATAGGATGGAATATAAGTTTTGTCTCCAGTAAATAAATGCCTGCTGCTCGGGAATTAAAGACAATGGATCACAGCTTCGTGGATGGGTCCACGAGGAATTCAGGCATCCTCGAATTACGTCCATAACTGAGCCCAGAATTCCTGTTGTTCAGTGAGACCTTTGTTAAGTGAGTTTTGTCCCACTTTACGGCCTTTTCTTGCCACAGTTGTTAAATGAATCACAGAGTTGTGTGATTCATTAGTCACATGGTTGTTAAGTGAATTTGGCTTCCCCCCGTCGACTTTGCTTGTCGGATGGTTGCAAAAGGGGATCACGTGACCCCAGGACACTGCAACTGTCCTAAGTACATGCCAGTTGCCAAGCGTTTGAATTTTGATCACGTGATCGTGGGGATGCTGCAAAGGTTGTAACTGTGAAAACGGGTCCTAAATCGCGTTTTTCAGTGCCGCCGTAACTTTGAATGGTCACTAAACGAACTATTGTAAGTTGGGACTACCAGTGTTGTAATGTGATTTTTTTTGGTAGATCTTCTATCCAGGTTCCTTGGTCCCTTTTGGAATCCTGGATAGATCCTTCTGAAGCATCCCAGATCTTTTAAAATCTTTTCCAGGATAATAACTGCAGAGTCCTGAGGCGGAATCTGCTGAATAGAGAGGAATTGCTACTTCTTCAAACAAATGCATATTATTATTATTATTATTCAAAGAAAGCAGAAGCTAAAACGGCATTCGCCTTTCCTGAAGCCACATCAACGCTGGTGATTCATAAGAAGACTCATAAACGCAGATGACAACGTTGTTTGTGAGATATGTTGGGTGGGGTAGATTAGTCTATCTAGCTGAGGAAAGAAAGGAAGTGAGGCAGAAAGTGTGGATTTCCTTTGATCGGCCCAGTGTTTCATTTGTCTCTCATGGGATCTTGAAAAATGTTAAATCAGTCCAGATTTGGAGAAGAGTTTGGGAAACAGTGACCATCGTTAACTCATTAAAATGTACCCACGGAGAACTTCCTTGTTGCCTTATGCAAGGCGTTACATTTGAACCCTAAAGATGCTTGTAGTTGTGGCGCGGTGGGTCCCACTCTCCGTATTTAGGGGGCTAAACAAAGCTGGAACCTGAATCTAGAATTTGAGAGCACCTGATCTAGAACCATTCGTTGGGGGGTGGAGACCACCTCGTTTTGATGGTGGCGGACCAGTTAGATAGACTGAGGTGGTGGACCACCTCTCAGTCATTGGATGCAAAGTTGGAATGAGTTACAGTTACAGATGTGATTATCTGTAGGATGTTTTTCCTGAGTCTCTACAGCAGTTTTACATACTGTGTGCATCTCTTCCTTGTTGAGGTTGACAATAATCTTCTAAGGTCCTCCACTGTTCAAATAGGGAGTTGAGGCTGAGAGATTCCATGATAGATGGAGACTTTCAATGAGTCTCTGAAATATTATGGGGGGGGAGGAGGAGGAGGAGGAGGAAGGGAGGGAAGAGAAGGAGAAGGAGAAGGAGAAGATTACATTCAACCACTACATATTGTGTCCATGCTCTTAAGATCTCATTGTATTCAGTTGTGTCCGACTCTTGGTGATCCTATGGGCCAGGTCTCTCCATGTCTTCTGATCTTGCACTACTTCTTTTCTATGTTCTGGCTGGTGTCCGCTTGGATGGTATCCAGCCACCGTGTTCTTTGACCGGAGCGCCAATCCCAGCTTAAACCAACCGTTGAGATGAGTTGGGTCAGGAGGGCAGTCACACGGACTTGGGTCAACCATCTGGATGAGTTTGGCAACATCTGGACGTCTGGGAATCCAAAGGTTTTCCTTGTCTCTTTGAGATAGACAATACCAGGAATGGAAGGGTGGCTACAGCCCCCCCCCCAAAAAAAAGTTTCTTCTGAAACTTGGAACTCCTAAAAGCTTTAGGAGATGAAGTCGCCTCATTTAGAACTTTTCCATTTGCATGTCTGAAACTCATATTTTAAAGATGTCTCTTTTGCAGCTTCAGCTTCTTTGCAGATTCATAATCCTGAATGCGTGCTTTGTCAGAAATGTCATTCCATCCCACTGACCAATATTTTGGATAGCGGAAGAGTGCTTGTTCTCTCTCTGTGTGTGTGTGTCTCTCTCTGTGTGTGTCTCTCTCTGTGTGTGTGTCATTTAGTGCAAATCTCGTGTTTGCTTTAAGAAATGAATTTATTTGCTATGTTCCTTCCCAGCAGTTTCTGGATTAGGGCCATCCAAAGTTTTGTTCTTCCCTTTATTAGGTCAGCTGATCCCTGCCCCCAAAAGTTGGGAAGGGTGGGGTTCAGGAAATCCTTGGATTTGTGAGAGAGAGAGCTTCTGTGTGTCTTTGTCTCACCAGCAAATATGAGTTCTGCAAAGTTTTTAAAACCCGCTGAAATGAGGTTAAGGCACCCTTTGTGCATCGGTTGAGCTGCTGGTATGACTGGCACAGACGGGGTGGAATTGCTGTCCTAAGGCCCTTCCAATAAATGTGCCTCCAGGGTCTGCCCTTCCCCGACCCAGGCCTTCCTGTCCACAAACGGTCTTATCAATTCCCCCCTGAGATGTGGAGTCATCACCCACATCCCTGCCCTGGACTTGTTTTTTTATATATATATATATTGTTACATTAAAACGACAACAAAAAAGTTGCACATTCTGCAAATTCTGCAGTTGGAATAAAGAGGACTGGTGTCCTGGGTACAAAAAAAAAAAACAATCCTCCACAACTTTGGTTAAACTTCTGTGGAGTTCTTTCATATATACAAAAAGAAAAAAGAAAAAAAGAACCCTTCAAGAACCACATCTGACGTCTTTAGCCGTGCATTTTTTTATTTTTTTTATTTTTGGGGGTTGTGGGAAAAGACAGTTGACAGTGGCTGCAAAAGAGAACTCACTTAACCATATTTTTTTCCCCCCTGTAGCTGTCCTTACAATTTGAGGGCAGGAATCTTGTAAGATTTTTAGGCCATGTTAACAGAAGTTACAGAATGACAGCTTTGATCTTCTAGTCCAGAGTTTCCTAACCTTTCCGGCTTTGCGGATCATAAACGGGAGGGGGGGAGGAAGGGGGGGAACCTCTATATCTCCTTATATGCAGAATGTATCTTGTTATTTATTTGACAGTGAGCTGCAAGCCAATCCTAAGAGTGTGTGATATCTATCTATCTATCTATCTATCTATCTATCTATCTATCTATCTATCTATCTATCTATCTATCTATCTATCTCTAGATAGATAGATAGATAGATAGATAGATAGATAGATAGATAGATAGATAGATAGATAGATAGATAGATAGATATCTGCTATTTGCTGCTATTTTCAACAGCCAGTTTAATTTCACTTGTTAGGTTAAAATCTATCTATCTATCTATCTATCTGTCTGTCTGTCTGTCTGTCTGTCTGTCTGTCTGTCTGTCTGTCTATCTATCTATCTATCTATCTCTATCTCTAGATGATAGATAGATAGATAGATAGATAGATAGATAGATAGATAGATAGATAGATAGATAGATAGATAGATAGATAGATAGATAGATTTTAACCTAACAAGTGAAATTAAACTGGCTGTTGAAAATAGCAGCAATCTACCTTTAGACTCAGATATTCAACTTTGACTGACTCTTGTTCCACTTGATGGCCCAGCCATGCTATATTACAGTCTTCCAGATTGGGCAAATTCTTAATTATTCCAAAACTGGACCCATTTTAGATGCAGCTTTTCCTTGACCATCCGGTGGTGTCCCTGGACCATTTGATCTGCTGCTTCTGCCAAAATAGCTAACAGTTTTTCTTTGACAGGTGTCAACAGTTTGACCCAACCATTTATCACTCGGATGTTAATTACTCTAATGGACTCCACCATATGGTTTCTCCTCTAGTTTGGTCTTTATTCATTGGATGAGGAGGCCAGCCGGGTGAAAACGAAGCAGGCAGGCGGTGACTTGAAGGCCATCAAGTGTGTTTGCTGCCTTCACATACTTCTGGGGTTGCTGGCACAGGAAATAGGAGCATAATGGATTTCCTTGATGTTTAAACCAGATGGAGGTTAACACTTGGGGAAATGGACACTTTTGTTTTCTGCAGTGGTTCAACCTGTTTGCTTTGCAGTTCCTTGCTTATTTTCAGATTGGCTAAGCCAAGCCTCTAGATCTCATGTCTGTGATTGACTATCAATCAATCAGAATAGAACTGGAAGGGACCTTGGAGGTCTTCTAGCCCAGCCCCCTGGTCAAGCAGGAGACCCTATACCATTTCAGACAAGTGGCTGTCCAGTCTTTTCTTAAAAGCCTCCAGTGATGAAGGAGGCTTCCTCAACTTCTGAAGACAAGGTGTTCCACCAGTTGATTGTCTTCACTGTTAGGAAGTTTCTCCTTAATTCCAGGTTGCTTCCCTCCTTGATTAGTCTCCATCCGTTGTTTCTTATCTTGCCTTCTGGTGCTTTGGAAAATAGGTTGTCCCCCTCTTCTTTGTGGCAGCCCCTCAAATAGTCACCCCTAGTCCTTCTTTAACTATTTGGCCACCTAATGAGAAGGAAAGACTCACTGGAGAAGAGCCTAATGCTGGGAAAGATGGAGATGGAGTCACTGAAGCAGGAGGCGTGAGCTTAAATGGACTCCAGAAGATGGTAGAGGACAGGAAGGCCTGGAGGAACGTTGTCCATAGGGTCGCGATGGGTCGGACACGACTTCACAATTAACAACAACAACAACAGTCCTTCTTTTCTCTAGACTGGCCATTCCCAAATCCTGCAACCATTCTTCATATATTTTTTGTCTCCAGGCCTTTGGTCATCTTAGTTGCTCTTTGCACTTTTTCCAAAGTCTCAACATCTTTTTTGTAATGTGGTGACCAAAACTGGATGCAGTATTCCAACTGTGGCCTTATGAAGTTTTATGAAGCGCTACTAATACTTCAGCTGATTTTGATTCTATGCCTCTGTTTATGCAACTAAAGATTATATAAACAGAGGCATAGAAGCAGCTTTTTTGGCTGCTGCCACACACTGCTGGCCTTATGACTAAATTGTGGTGGGCTCCATTAACACCTCTCTGAAGTGGAACACATTATGAGGCAGACACTAATAAGAGTGTCGTCCATATATAACATTAATTCTGGACTTTTTTTCGTTTCGCTCCTAAGATTGAACAAATTTTAGGTTTTACGTGCAGGTACCTGAATATTGCACACTTCTTATGGAAACACAAGCATTTACATATTCAAATCACTTTAGGATTATTATTTTTTTAAAGACAGCCTTGCATTAAGTGAAAGCCACAGGTGGAAATTAACTTATTTTAAACTTTATTTGCATCCTTAGCTGAAGCAGAAGTTAAGTTTTTGTGCCCCAGTCTGTAGAAGAGTTTTGAGTTTTGCTGTGGTAGTGTGACCTTAACTGCACTATGATTTTGGATGTGCCATCTTTCATCTCTTTTCCAAGCTGTTTTTAGAAAATAGAATTGCCTGACCCTGGGTGAGGTTGACTGTAGTTTAATTTTGGGTTCTGTTGATGTTCTCCAAGAATAGATGTGGCTCCTTTGCATGAACGTTCCAATATTCCAGACGTTCTTCTCCACAAGAAACATGGAAACATACTTTCGTCTTAATTTGGTTCAGATAAGAAGTATTTGTTTGTTTGTTCATAGCAATAGTACGTAGACCTATGTACCGCTTCATGATGCTTTACACCCTTTTCTAACCAGTTTACAGAGTCAGCGTATTGCCCCCCAACAATCTGGGTCCTCATTTTACCAACCTTGAAAGGATGGAAGGTCGAGTCAACCTTGAGCCAGTGAGAATCGAACTGCTGGCAGTGGGCAGAATTAGCCTGCAATACTGCATTCCGATCACTGCCCCACCACGGCTCTTAAATTCATATTGAATTTCTTTGCTGCTCATCTTGTAGCGAATGTCTCTGGGCAGTTTCCAACTTCAAAACATTAAAATCCTAAATGTTCTTTTCCTGCAGATGGGTTCTGTTTGGGGGAGGGTGGGGGGTGGCTGTTAAGTTGTTAAACCTATTGTTTTTAATGGACCAGGGGGATTTTACCCTCATCATTTCACAGACTGTATTTAAGAGGCAGCTTTGATATCACACAAAGATCACATTTCACCCGTGCTGCCTTCCTTGTAGATGGTTGAAGAGCTTATGTACCGAATTGATACGTTCGCCCATTTCACAAGAAGTTATTCTGGGCGGCATACAACCACCAAATAAAATCACAAATCTATATAAAACAATCGTTATTAAAGATTGAAATGTTTTTTTTTTAAATGAAAATACACAACCCATAAGGCACAGGGAGAGGGGCCATGGATAAGTTTGTAGAGTGTGCATAACCATCAGCTGTGGTTCATCAACGCCAAGATGCTTAGCCAAACAAACCAGATAAGGTTTGGATGCAGTCTGTAAAACTCAGCCAAGGAGCTAATCTTCCTAAGACGCATATTAACTTCCTCTAATTTAATTCTTTTCTAGGACCCAGCTGGAATATTTGAACTAGTGCAAGTCGTTGGAAATGGGACATATGGACAAGTCTATAAGGTATGGGATATTTCTGAAGAATGGATGGCTAAAAAAATTAATATATTTAATGGCAATTGGGCATAATACATTTTGGAAACAAAGATATGCTTGAGCAAGATGTTGGTCTAGTTTAGAAGACCTTCAAGGTCCCTTCCAACTCTGATATTCTGTTATAACCTTCGATTGTGTGACTCCAGTCCATGGCATAAACATATGATATGAATTTTCTTCAATTTACACTGTGGTGGTCCAGCAAACAAGTCGGGAGATTAGCTATGATTCAAAATGGTTTTGTAAGCTACATTTTAGTCTGACTGTGGTCTGTAATAGGTGTGAATTCTTGAACCATGATGAAGGCAGTTGTTCATCATGAGAAGGAAAACGAGGTCATCTGGATGTGTGCTAAGAGAAAAAAAAATCAGAAATTTGAAATTGCGGTTCTTTTAACGGGTTTGTACATCCAGATGTTGCTACGAATTTCTAACTGTGTGTATGACAGATAACTGATTCAACGGCTGTCGAAACAATGGCCTCTTACTTGCACAGCTTCCTGTGGCCTTCAAGGAAGTGTTGAAGGACACCAGGAAACCATGATTAACCATAATTTCTTGCTATATCCACCTGACAAATTATGGGTAATGCTTTCCAAAGCAAACCAGGAGAGCAGTTTTCAATTTTAAATCCGGTAAAGCTTGACAATGAAGGTAAATTATAATGTGATTTAATTTGGATGAGTAGAAGATGTCCTTGTTTGCACAACTTACCTAACCAAGCTCTGCTTATCCAGAGTTTTCTAATAATATATTTACAATTCACCAAATCATAAACTTTGGTTTATAAGCTGCTGTGGTTAGATTCTTTAAAACTATGGCTGTTTGATTTGGGCTTAGTCAGTTCAGTGAACTTGACCTCAATAAATTGACTGGATACGGCTTAATATTATGTGCAAAGCTGATGAAACCTGGATTAAAGTTGGATAAGGTATCCTGGTTTGCTTGGACATCATTAGCCACGATTTTCATGTTAGACACAATAGCAGTGAGGGCTTGGTGGCTGATTTCTCTGCTGGTGGAAAGGGAGAAGTGAGACAGACATGGTTTGGCAGTGATCCTACTGTATATTAGTTTGTTAAGCCAAACCTCAATGCATCAAATGCGGCCAGTGATTAATGCAATCAAGTCTTGAGGGGATGTGATGCTGTCATGTAACTAATTCCATCTGATTATAAAGCTCCGAGCATCGTTGATTGATGGTTGAACATCCATTCCAACTGTTTTTGCTGACGTTCACTTCCTTGCCGACATGTCTTGTGGTTATTGTGCAACTTTTGGACCGTTTGGATACAAAATAAGCCGTTGTGCATATCACAGCAGGAATCGGCTTTTATCTATGACAGATGTTTGAAAGTTTTTTGGGGTTTTTTTTTACAAGAGCTACAGCTTGGAGCTTTGATCTGTCACTCATCCATCAGGTGTGAGACCCGATGCTTTGGTCGGGTCTACCGGTTGCCCTAAAGCCACAAGGTGTATGGTAGACTGTCTGCCTTAACACAGCAGGAGAAACCAACTCTTGTTTGTAAATCGCAGCTTATTTATTTACTGGTTTACAGTATATCCCATCTTTTACCTTTTGACAAATAACTCAGGGCACCGAACATATCCAACAGAACTTCCTTCTCCTGTTTTCCCTTCAACAAGAACCCTGTGAGGTGGGTTGGGCTGAGAGAGAGGGACTGGCCTAAAGTCACCAACCTGGCTTTCATGCCTAAGGTGAGACTAGAACTCACATTCTCCCAGTTATTGGCCCAAAGTCACCCAGATGGCATTCCTGGCTAAGGCAGAACTAGAACTCACCATCTCCTGGTGATTACCCCAAACTCACCCAGCTGGCTTTCGTGGCTAAGGTGAGACTAGAACTCACATTCTCCCAGTTATTGGCCCACAGTCACCCAGCTGGCTTTCATGGCTAAGGCAGGACTAGAACTCACCATCTCCTGGCGATTGGCTCAAAGTCACCCAACTAAGCCAGGACTTGAATTCACCATCTCCTGCTTTCTAGCCTGGTGCCTTAATTACCAGACCAAACCAGCTCTCTTGCAGCTTATATTTTTTTTTCTTACAGTTTAGGACAAGCTTCCATAAGATAGGCAGACTTTAAACCTAGTACTGGGGCATGTTGGCTGTAAGAGCGTACAGTCTTGCAGTCCCTTAAAGCTGGTAAGAGACGCTGGGCTGAAGATCTGTTTGGAGGTGGAGAAAATAGATGAATCATACAAAAATGAGTCGTTTCCAGAACTTTTAAAAAAAACAAAACACTGTCCAGTGATAAGGCCTCTCTGTGCCAGACTTAAGAAAGGACTGCATTGTGGAGGCATGTGGTTTCCATAAGGCCTGCTGGACTCCATTTCATGCTCTGCCCAATTCTTTGAACAGAAGGTTCCAAAGCAGGCGAAAGGATCTGGCATGGTGGGACTCCTTTGCGCCTGGAAGCTATTTGTGGTTGTGGGGGGGGAAGTAACATCTTCCTGTTTCTGGGTTTTGCCTCAAAGCATCCAACCCAACCTCCAGGAGACAGTCTTTCTCCTGAGCAGAGGAATGAACAACACAAAAGAGAAGTCGTAATAATAATAATAATAATAATAATAATAATAATAATAATAATAATAATAATAATAATAATAATAATAATAATAAATAAACAGTTGGAACGGACCTTGGAGGTCATCTAGTCCAACCCCCTGCTCAGGCAGGAAACCCTATACCATTTCGGACAAATGGCTGCCCAGTCTCTTCTTAAAAACTTCCAGTGTTGGAGCATTCACCGCTTCTGGAGGCAGGTGGTTCCACTGGTTAATTGTTCTAACTGTCAGGAAGTTTCTCCTTAGTTCTAGGTTGCTTCTCTCCTTGATCAGTTTCCATCCGTTGCTTCTTGTCCTGCCTTCAGGCACTTTGGAGAATAGCTTGACTCCCTCTTCTTTGGGGCAGCCCCTGAGATACTGGAAGGCTGCTATCCTGTCCCCCCTCGTCCTTCTCTTCGTTAAACTAGACATACCCAATTCCAGCAGCCGTTCCTTATATACTTTAGCCTCCAGTCCCCTGATCATCTTTGTTGCTCTTCTCTGTACTCTTTCTAGAGTCTCAGCATCTTTTTTACATCGTGGTGACCAAAACTGGATGCAGTATTCCAAGTGTGGCCTTACCAAGGCCTTGTAAAGTGGTATTAATACTTCACGTGATCTTGATTCTATCCCTCTGTTAATGCAGCCCAGCACTGTGTTGGCCTTTTTGGCAGCTGCAGCACACAGCTGGCTCATGTCTGAGAAGAAGTTAGAAGTGAGAGCAGATGGCTTGGAATAGAATAATAATAGAATTGGAAGGGACCTTGGAGGTCTTCTAATCCAACCCGCTCTTCAAGCAGGAGACCCTGTACCCTTTCAGATAAATGATTGTCCAGTCTCTTTTTTGAAAGTCTCCAGTGATGGAGCATCCACAACCTCTGAAGGCATTGCTCCATTGGTCGATTTCTCTCATCTTTAGGACATTTCTCCTTAGTTCTAGGTTGCTTCTTTCCTTTCTTAGTTTTCATCTGTTGTTTCTCATCTTGTCTTTTGGTCCTTTGGAAAATAGTTTGATGCTTTCGTCTTTGTAAGAACCCCTCAAATAATGGAAGACTCCTATTATGTCCCCCAGTCCTTCTTTTCATTAGACTAGAGTCCAGGGGTAGTCAACCTTGGCTCTTTTATGACTCGTGGACTTCAACTCCCAGAATTCCTGAGCCAGCATAGCTTCAGCTTCTGGGAGCTGAAGTCCACGAGTCATAAAAGAGCCAAGGTTGACTACCCCTGGACTAGACATACCCAATTCCTGCAATCATTCTTCCTATGTTTTAACCTCCACCACTACCACCCCTAATTATTTCTGGCTTTGTTAAATTCTGGCTTTGTTAAATTAGGAATGGTGGAAACAGTCTATCAATCACCTAGAAGCTTGAGCTGGAGAAGTGTAGCGTGCTAAATTTAAGAACTATTTACCAGGAAGTGCTGAAGAGAAAAAGGCTGTTAACCAACACAGGCTGGAAGAAAAAAAATAATAATAATTCTATTATAGCGCTGAGCTTCCAATCTGTTGACTGTTTCCTCTAGATAAGCATTGCCAACTGCTTACAGATTCTTTGATTTTTTTATTTTATTTTTTATTTTTTTTAAAAAAAGAGCCTTCCTTTGTCTTTACTGACCTAGCTTTAGATGCAGCGATGTGGGGGAAATTACTCCTTCCTGTAGTTGGCCTACAGTAACGTGGCATCCTGAAAAGTTAGACTCAAGTCTTTTCCTCCACTTTGATTTATTTGTAGCATCGCTCGCTTGTTCCGTGTCTGTCTGAGCTTCGCCAGATGTTTCGTGTCCATGCTGATCCCTGTCTCACCTAAATGGATTGGAACTGACTTATAAAGTTGCGAATTGTCGCAAGGCAGCATCGTCAGGTTTACATCCGGGCTATGTGAATGTGGGAAAGAGCTGACCCATTTCTGCTGTTGAGAAGTAGGCCAGGTGTTGCTTGAAAAGAGTCTTTAGCAACCTGGTTGTGTTGGTGGTGCGCAGTTGCTAAATTTAAGCGTGGGGATTTGGCAACAAAAACGTATCAAACTTTAGCTCAGTGGTGGGATTCAGCCGGTTCACACCACTGGTAGCTAATTTTTTGTTGCCAAGGCCCAGAATGGACTTCCGGAAGCGGCATCCACACAGAGAACCGGTTGTTCACGTATTTGAATCCCACCACTGCTTTAGCCGCTTAATCATTTTGATCCCAATCTTTTCGGCTTCTTTTGATCTGTTCCTGTCCCTCTCTCGGATCCGGGATTTGTAACTTGGTGCTAAGTGTTCCATTACAGAGGTTGGATGGTGTGCAGGGAGCCTGCTAAATGAACAGGTAGCAATAGCACTTAGACTTATATACCGCTTCACAGTGCTTTACAGCCTTTTCTAAGCGGTTTACAGAGTCAGTCTGTTGAACCTCCCCAGC